TATGTGGTTATTCAAAGGTATTGCCTCCTGAACGAAACCACCACCAAAATATATATCCTGTCTGTTAGTGCAATGTTTTCAACGATTTATTTATAGCCCAAGAAAAATACTATCTTTCGGCTAAGATTGGACATAGCCATCCATATCTTATATTAAATTATTCAGAAATGAACGACCGGGAAGGGTCGGGAGGGAATAGGTCTTCAGCAACCCATGCTTGCCGAAAAAGGCGACTATGCTTGTCATAAGAGACCATTAACGGGATCGGGTGGTCAGGCTCGCTGACTTTGCTGATGCATGTCATCGTATCCCAATTGCGTGGATTGATGCTCATGATGTCAATCACTGGATTGTCTGGTCCAGGCTCGATTATTTACAGACCGCCGTCATAGAGCTGGAATATTGCTGAGCGCGGCGTTAAACAACAAACAAACAAACAAACAAACAAACAAACAGAAATGAACAACCTTAAAACTTTATCGCTCTTGATGTCGCGATCGCTAATCACATTTTACTTGAGCCTGTTGTGACCATTGTCTCTTTACTCCACTCCTTACAATTGTCCATCACCCAGAGCCTCAGGCTTCCTTTCGATCTATCTGTACGTTGTCAATGCACAATGCGGGACCACGTGGAGCTTTAGCCTATGACTTTCTATGTTATTTCTGCCTAACACTTTCAATATAAAGGGTTCCGAGTATAGTCGAGACTTTCAGGTGGTAGTCATGACACCCCTGATATCATAACAAAGACAGAAAGCAGAACTGTGATCACATACATGGCGACACTTCACAGAGACCATAAACCGATATGTGTATATATATCAGCAACAGGCATGGCTACTCTTCACAGAGACCACATACCGACCGGTGTATACATATCAGTCACATACATGGCGACTCTTCACACAGACCATATACCGACCGGTGTATACATATCAGTCACATACATGGCGACTCTTCACACAGACCATATACCGATATGGGTATACATATCAGTAACATATATGGCGACTCTTCACAGAGACCACATAACGACCGGTGTATACATATCAGCAACGGACATGGCGACTCTTCACAGAGACCATATACCGACCGGTGTATACATATCAGTAACATACATGCCCACTCTTCACACAGACCATATACCGACCGGTGTATACATATCAGTAACATACATGCCAACTCTTAACACAGACCATATACCGACCGGTGTATACATATCAGTCACATACATGGCGACTCTTCACACAGACCATATACCGACCGGTGTATACATATCAGTCACATACATGGCAACTCTTCACACAGACCATATACCGATATGGGTATACATATCAGTAACATACATGCCCACTCTTCACAGAGACCATATACCGACCGGTGTATACATATCAGTAACATACATGGCGACTCTTAACACAGACCATATACCGACCGGTGTATACATATCAGTCACATACATGGCGACTCTTCACACAGACCATATACCGACCGGTGTATACATATCAGTCACATACATGGCGACTCTTCACAGAGACCACATACCCACCGGTGTATACATATCAGCAACGGACATGGCAACTCTTCACAGAGACAATATACCCACCGGTGTATACATCTCAATCACATACATGCCCACTCTTCACACAGACCATATACCGATCAGTGTATACATATCAGTCACATACATTGCGACTCTTCACACAGACCATATACCGATCAGTGTATACATATCAGTCACATACATGGCGACTCTTCACAGAGACCATATACCTAACGGTGTATACATATCAGTAACATACATGGCGACGCTTCACACAGACCATATACCGACCGGTGTATACATATCAGTCACATACATGGCGACTCTTCACAGGGGCCATATACCCACCGGTATAACATATCAGTATCACATATGGTCTCGGCTATTCAGCATACCTTTGTGTCTTGAGGCGAGAGTCCTACTACCTATGTGAATATTATCAGTGTATGACAAGTTGTGTTTATGACAATTCGTAGTGTCATAGTCTCTCCGACCGGCTGACTGGATGCAGTGGGGGTACTTACACGTGGCTTGTCCATTTACATTTTAAAAGCAGACCTTAAAGCATCTGTCAAGTCGTAAAGTCTGTGCTTGGAGATACACATCTTCCTCCCGGGTTATTGAACGCAGTTTGGCTGTTGTTTCTATGGTTACTGGCAAATATGTCCTCTACTTGAGTCACGTGTTCACATTAAAGCCCAATTGAGCGTCGCCATGTCCTATATTCTCACTGGGTACTTTTAAGAAGTGAGTTTCTAAAGATAATAGCCCATTTCTGGTGTCCCCCGCCGTGATATTGCTGGAATATTGCTAAAAGCGGCGAAAAACCAAACTCACTCACTCACTCACTCTAAAGATAATAACTTAGTTAACTCCCTTGCCTCTGGAAGATGATTGTACCCTAATGGCATATACATTCAAGCATTGGCAGAAATTTATCACTCTGTTTTCTGCTTATGTAGCTCGAGGGTTTCCGTGAATCTTTACAACATCTCAACATAATGGTAGTTTAAAAAGAAATGTTATGTCATTAATATTAAACAGTTAATAGTGATGTAACGTGTTCAAATGGTAGTGTAGACCCGCGAAGATCCGGGTAAGAATAGATTTTCAGCAACCCATGCTTGTCGTGAGAACTTGTCAACTTCCACGGGTCATGAGGAAACAGTATCATCATCAATAGTGTTCTTGCAGTCTTCACGGAAGGCCATTACCATCAGATCACACTCAGACATTATAGAACAACCATGTTCCAGACTTTGTAATGGACACTATTCATTGAGCTTCACTCATTGTACCTATGTACCTATTGTGGTTGGTTCGGGTAAAATCACACATACACAATGGCAGCTTGATAGTGTTACTTGCAAGTGGGTAAACAGGTGTATGAACGGCCCTTCATTCCTCTTATTCAGCTGGGGCGATCGGGTAGCCTAGTGGTTAAAGCGTTCGCTCGTCACGCCGAAGACCCGGGTTCGATTCCCGACATGGGTACAATGTGTGAAGACCATTTGTGGTGTTCCCCGCCGTGATATTGCTTGAATATTGCTAAAAGCGGCGTAAAACCATACTCACTCACTCTTATTCAGCTATCCGAGGCATCGGGGTACTCGAATTCTTATAATGAAAGCCACCCATGGGGGTCCGGGTTAGAATTAGTCTTCAGCAACCCATGCTTGATGTGAGAGGCGACTATGATTGTCGTAAGTGGCATCAGAATATCTGCACTTATTTGCAGCATACGTAATAAAAATTTAAGAAATCTTTTACGCCCAATAACAAAGGAATCTGTTTGGACAAATATTTAAATTATTCTCTGGCGCTGACGTTTCATATTTCGATTATGAAACAGAGTTTGTCGATATCTTTAAGTCAGTGCTGGGACGTCTGAACGGGGTTCAAATATACTGGAAATAGTCTTGCAAACAAACACACATCTGGAAATATGTGGCAAACATTCAGCTATTACACTTTTTTGTTGACCTTTTATTAAGATAATACCATGTACAACATGAGGTCTAAACATATAACCTCAATACTCGGTACGCCCCAATACCCAAGCCAGCACGATACATATTGCACATTGTCAACTCTGCCTTGCTGGACACGGATGAACACTGACACATTGTTCTCGTCAGCTGCATCCCGGATACTATAGTGTTATTGTGGCAGCAATAGATGCATCATATTTCATTTGTCCATGCTTGGATGAGTACACCAAACTTGACAAGCGTGTAATCAGGCATCTTGTCAGCACAGCATCTCTACTGTGTCGATCGGATCCTCGTTTGAACCCCCAAAACTTGTATATATGACAGACATGCGTGTCCCCAACTCAAGATGACCCTACATGACATTACTGAAGGCATACAATAGTCAGGCAACCACGATACTGTCTCGTTTCAACGAAATATGGGGTGCTAAGTATTACGCTGCAATTGAAAAAGTTCACACTTCATATTTCAAATGTTTTCTAAGTGTTTGTAAGTTTGCCTCAAACAAGGCAATCCTTAGTGAAACAGGCTTAAGTAATATTTTTGTAGCCAGCCAATTAAGGGTAATATAGTATTGGATAAAGTTACTTAGAATGATGCCTGATAGATACCCATATCAGTATTACAAAATGTTACTTGATGATCATGGAAAAAAATGGGTTTCAGAAGTGAGAAATCTATTACTTGTTAGTGGCTTTTCATATGTATTAATTTCCCAAGATGTGGGAGATCCACAGTTATATTTATATTCATTTAAGCAAAGACTAAAGGATATATTTTGGCAATGTCACCGAAGAATTTCGGTACTACTTTATCTTAGCAATTATAGCAAAGTAAAATCATTGTTACAAAATGAAAGATATTTAACTTGTTTAAACGATAAAGGTTGAATCAGAGATAATTGTAAACTAAGAATGTAAATATTTGTCGCAGGTCCAAAGACAGTGATATTGTGAACACTATTTGTACAAACTGTTCATCCGGAGAAATAGAGGATGAATACCATGTCTTACTTATATGTGAAACGTATTCCCATTTAAGGTATAGATTACATAGTGTATAAGTCTCCCCATGTTGCAAGGTATTTTTAAAGACCGTCAGTTTATTATAAATCTGCTAAACTCTGAAAATCATGACATGATCTATGCTATTTCTGTATTTTAAAAACATGTCTTTATAATGAGGAATGTTTAACTTGATTTAAAATCTAATCATGTACATCACGTGATAAATGTTAATAACCAATCTGCATTGTACTTGTGGCCTTGATGCCTAAATTACTGAATAAACTGTCTGTCTGCCTGTCTGTTCCTTGTCCCTAAGATTAATGTTTGTAATGAACCACTAGCCGCACGTCCACCTGCTTCGCCAAATGGCAGGTGTGACACAAGACATCGATTCTGATAATAGCGTGTATGCTCATAATTCGTTGCATGCACTGAACGAAAATCAGATTGCAGAGAACGAGGTGGGGAATATTAACGGCGTAAGCACGGTGAGTCATTTATCAAAACCTACATATTGTCTGCTTATTTGCTCTGTGGGCTGCAGAGTAACATCTCACAGGGCATTATCATCGGTTTATGCTCATAGCCTTCTGATCTGAATTCGCATCAAATCAGACTGTCCGAGAAGTTTAATAGAAACTTATCTTTCCGTGTCCACATTACACAATTTCAGGATTTGGTAAGGTTACATTGGCCTTCTCCTGCCATACTTACATAATCAGACAATGAATAATGTTGAAAAAGATAAAGAGTAATAACTTGCACTATATTTCGAATTATAATAAATATACAACATTCACGTTATGTTCAGTTAATTAAGCAAGTGCAGTTATAAACGGCAGCTTTAACCAATAATATTTTTTATAACATGTAAAAATTTACAATGATGCCATTTTTATATTTCATAGCATACAGCTTTAAAATCAAAATCGCCTTTTCTCTTAATATACGACTGGATTTCTTTGAATATTTTAAGGAGAAAAACAGTTTTTAAGTTCGATGTCGGATAAGAAGCTAAATTCCTTAAGTTTTTGGTGAATGGGGTTTCAACAGGTCTGCAAGTTTGCCATCCGTTACCTTTTCCGGATATGTATCCTTAAATCTAAAAAATAGCAGCTATAATCGAATGTTTGAACTGATCTCTAAGTAGGAGTATCTAAGTTTCGGTATCATGCACGATTATCTGCACATTTTATAATAATTTTATATTGTCCCAAAAAGGACATTTAAAGGAATAGTGAAATTAATTTCTCATGCAGCTGGCAAACGTGTTTTTGCCCAAACAATTTAAGGTTCTCCTGTCCCCTTCTGGCCAAGAGTGTTTATCGCCCCGTCTCCAAATAGGACGTTTCTCTGGAAGTGTGGCAAGCTGGGCCGTCAAATATAGCAGAGCAATTTTTCACATTGTTCTTCGGTACATTCCTCCTGTACCTGGCTGACCTTTTCTATGTGAGATCTTTTGTCTAATCTTAATTTTCGCAATGATGCTACCTTTTACCAGTGATACCGTATTCGACGTAATAAGCGCCCCGCTCCAAAGCGCCCACGGCGAAATTTGCTAATATATTGGCAAGTGGACAATCCCAATTAGAACCCCTTCTAACTGATCAATGTACACAAGACTTATTTATTCGCGTATCTGACACACTCGTGTGTTATATGCACCCTTAATTATGGGCAATATAATTCTGGAAAAATATATCTGTCGTACATAAACATTTCAGGCTGTCAGCATAAACCACGAAATTTATCTTTCAACTCTTATTCTTTTTCACCAAAATAATATTCTAATAACAGAACCCTATTCCTAATTTTGACAGCGCCCTGGGCGCTTATTACGTCGAATACGGTATTATATATACAGTAACATATGTTAAAGTCAATGTCTATAATCAGGCAATATGTATATTGACTTGTTCACTTAGGCAATGTACATATTGACGGACATTTTCAGTCAATATACATATTGCCTGAAGAATGTAAATGGATTTTAGACAAATTGACTGAAATGAATTAGACTCCTTTATTAAATCTCCTCATTTTAATTTGGTTCTATTTTGATCTTACGAAGATCAAAGTAACTTTTGTAAGTAATTAAAAATGTTTTCACGATGACGTGATTGGTTTTTCAGACATAAAAGAATACTAAAGTCCATTGTTTATGTTACTTATCGTTATTGACATAACATGCAGTTCAGTAACATAACATACAGACTCTATTGTTAACAAATATATGACTGAGTGACATTGTTTGCACAAGTTTCGCAGCTGTTACAAGTGAACAAATATACCATCAGTCTAAATTTTAACAGTTTTTGTTGGCACAGGTAAGACTGCAGTGGCATCTGCTTTTGCATCTTAAACCGGCCTTGTAACGTGTGCATCTATTTGTTTGACACTATTTGCCACTTACTTCACATCTACATTTGGCAAATCCCTGACCACCGCACTTGGACTCATTCTGCACTGCCTGACGGGGCTCCACCTCTTCGTCTTACACATGTCCTCAGTGCTTTACTGCTCAGGCCCAACTGGTTTTTACTGTGGTGTCCCTTCAGGAGTTCTGCACGAACAACTACCCGATACAGGTCATTGTCGTCTCTGCCTACATGACATTACGAGGGTCGCCTTTACCACGGTCAACAAGCGGGAACTGTTACATTATCACAAGGGTTGACAGTAACATGTTCAAGACGACTACGCTTGACCATGCGTTCAGCCTGTGCAAGTTGACCATCAGATGTGGATGTTCATTTCAGTGGTCCTTAGCTGAGCCTTGGGAACATCTTCGGGCTCTTCTGATTCTGGTGTTGTGGCGTTTTCACATGCCAGTTGCAACGATGTGGCGATTTCACTTGTCTGGTTTGTGGGAGAGTATCCTGCAATAAGGGCGTCTTCAGACACAATTCTCTCCAGAAGTTCTGTTGGTAGGGAATTGGAACGAAGTCCAACTTTGGCTGCATTACCAAACAAGGCTTTGTATTGTTATTGTTTGATAAAAGAGTGATGTGTACAAAACGAAGTCCAATAAGCCATTCTTTTGAATCATTGTCCCATAACCTCAAAGTGAGCATATCCTTTACGTCACAGTTTAAACGTTCACCTGAACCTTGGATTGGTGATGTTTAGGTTTCCACCAGAAAAGGTCAGGCCATAGCAGCTAGAGCTCAATGATAACAGACCAAGTACATTCACTACCATTATCACTCTGCAGATCTGAGGTGTGCTAAGATCTGAGGTGTGCTAAGATATGAGGTGTGCTAAGCAAATTAGCTGAACGCCAACGTCTGGTCCTGACATACCAGTATCCACTTGCACGAGCCAATCGCCATTGACTGCATGTCGACAAGGTCGACCTGGCCTCAAAATCCTTGGAATGGATTGGTTTAACAACTACGCCTTTTTGTGATTCTTACAAGGAATTTGTACAGTTTTCTAACGAGTGATATTAGCATATGTAGTCAAGGCTCAGGCAATATGTACATTGCCTGAGTGAGTCTACCAATACATATATTTTCTGATTATAGATATAACTGTATATGTCAATACATATGTGGAGACTACTGCAGATATACAGAAACATATTCATAAATATAAATATTGTCACAATATAAACAAAAGTATGGTTTTGCAAATCCATTTTAATTTTGCGAAATAAACGTCCAAGTGGAGAGAGCGTGCGCAGATATAGCTACCGTTACCCCGGGCTATGGTTATATGTCCACCGTACACAACGTCATGCAGCAAGGGAACTGGTCAAATCTGCCTCCAGAGCACTGGGCTTCCTAGGCCGTAATGTCTTCTTTTGTGGTGATATGCACTTTAACGTGTTTACAAGACTGAATGACAGTGTAGTGCAACCTGTGTTGGAAAACTGCTATGGAATATGTAAATACCAGGATGTATATGCTATTCAGAACAGAGCATGTCGTATATGTCAAGAAATACGTAACACCTGGCTGCGTGGGGTGATATGCGATGGTTGGATCCTCAGTTGAAACTGTACATGGAACCTGCCCGTCTGATGGTGCATGCCTGAAGATAAACGTATATAAAATTCACAAGTGATCGCTCGCACTGGTGAAACGTGTTGTTACTGATTTAATTGACATTTTAACAACTATCTGAAGATCATACTCAGAATTATACACTCAACCCTACACTCAACTACCACGCCATAGGAGATCCGCCCTTGCTTCCTTGAGATCTGGCTCCCTCAAGTTGGAGATTGAAACGGGCCGATACAGTAACCCACCAGTCCCTGCAAACCAACGTTTTTGTAATTTTTGTTCAGATGGTGTGGGTAAAATGAAAACCATTTCCTACTTCAGTGTAATGATATCCGTCGCAGTAAACTTCCGATCTTATTCAGTGATTGCTCCGCCACTAATTTGAATATATTGCTTAACGATAATACCCGAGGTCTTCATTAGGTACTATGGGCTGTAAAATTTTCCCCACAGAAAACTATTCTTTTATTCATAATTTTTTTCCTAATAAGCATAATTTATTTCATATATGTTATTCTTATACCTTTTCCTTCTCCATGGTGCATATTACGCTAACTTATGTATTTATACTCATATACCTTATGTCCATGTGGGGATAAATGTATATGTTTATTTATTAGTGTAAGCAAGTTATATACATGTGCATGTGCGTAAGTGTACTTGCTTCACAGAGTAAACTTAACACGATTGTGTGTTTTTTTACACAGAATTATTCTGGATTTTAGTGCCTCTAATAGCCCGTTTGGATGACGTTTGTACATGTGTTTGAATGTATCATGCTCCGCTGATTTTGGCCTCACTATGTACAAATGATGAGACAAAAATAAAACACCTTGAATTTAAAAAATGAACTCCTGGTGTAAAGAAGTATTGCCTTCAAAAGGGCGTCATAAGGAATAACATTTGATTTTTAACATTGCCATTGAAAATTTGGAAATAATTGTACATGAACATGTACATTTGATAAATTATCAAATATGTTTTAGGTTTGTCTTATTTACTTGTTATAAGGCTGTAAACAATTGAACGATCTAATGAAAATCTTTTAATTTCAACGTCAAAGGCACAGTGGCATTATGGACGTTTACACCTTTCGGAAAACTGGTTCCAAATATCCCTTTATATCTAATCGTCGACAATGTAGACTTAACAATTTACACATCAACACTTTTTAACAGACAGAAGTTTATTCAATATTTTAGGCCATATGACCTATAGTACAGAAGTGTTTTTTTTTGTATCAACATTGTACAGAGAAAGGTTTATGCGATGGACTAAATGTATAACCCCTAACGTAATATACATCATGTACATTTTATTTCTGTTCTCTACGTTTTCTCATTTTCGGATTTGGCATTAACTGAACGACACAAAGAGAAGGATGTTAAGTTTAAAATATCATGTTTCACGAAGCTTAACCTGATGAATATTGCTGTACGCGGAGTTAAACAACAAACAAATACACGCGTAACCCGATGATGAATAATCATATCCTATTCGTGTGTGACAGTTAACTCTAATATTCATCACAAACATTTAAAGAATGCGTAAATGGCGGGTGCTACCGTCACGGCAAGACATGCTTACCCTTTTCGCGAACACCTGATTTTCAGTGGTCCATTCATATAATTTTCACAACTTTGCCTTTACGCCAAATAATGTAGACTGGTTATTATATTGCATTGACAATTCATATATTTAAAACAATTCAGTCGGAACATACTTAAAACACGACAAGACAAATATGCAGACTGTCAAGGAGGAAACTTACTTTTTCTGTTTCAGAGTTTGTTGAAGCATAACTGGGTAGCCTTTGTCCCTATCTGGAACTGTTCGTGGCAGCATGTTTACTATACGACATGGACGGTCGTGCAGAGCTACATTTCTTTTTGCGACTGTCTTTCTGTCCGCAAGTTTTATGTTTTTTACATGGAATATTGGTAAGTGAAGAAATACAAAAGCAAAGGAAAATGAGAACTACATGCGGCAATAACACCACAATTAGTCCATGAGCCAGACCAGATATTGGTACCACCTGCGGTGGCAAAATCTCAGTATGATTTTTTGAAAGTCATATATCCAAAGATGAAAAAAAACTTTGAAAGCAATCCGGGACTCACAGCTTAGTGGTAGTAATCACCACATAAAGGGGGACCCCAGAGTCGAATCCACGGGACTAGATTTCAGGTTAGGGGAAACCAGAAAGTGGAATAACTTAACAAGCAATAGTCATATGGTGAAAATGTTAGTAACCTGATGCTCTACATGTTGGTATGTAATATAGGACAAATACCGTAAAAATGTAGGTCACCAGAGGTCAAAAGGTCACAACATTTGACCTTTGCTTAAAATATTATCAACTACCAGAAAATATATTGCAGATGCCACACCAATTGGATTTTCTTAACCCAAATGGGCTATGTTTGAAGCCAAGCAGTACCTAAGTCTGTTTTAAGTCTGATAAAAGGAACTTTATTGTCTTTTATGGTGTGGTACAGCACGGTTGTTGGTACATTTTAAAACGAATGTCATCATGCGCTAAAAAGATGTAAAATTGTATGAGGTTTGGCTGCTTGAAATAAGTTCACATGAGTTTATAACTCTCAACTCTCAAATTATAAAGGCCATGTGCTAGATGTAGTCTGAAGTTGTTTTGAAGATACATTGTTCTGTTTTTTTGGGCTCACAAGATTAAACTGAAGGTCAAATAGGTGTCAAATTGGATATGCTAACCGCAATAACATAAAATGCAGTTATCTGTTGCATAATGAATATTAATATTTGATACGATCACACATTTAGACACAAAAAACATTTTTACCACATTAGTGTTAGAAACTTAAGTCTTCATTATTGTAGACCGAAACAAGGGTGGTCACATATGAGCCTACATTGTACACTGTTGATTACTGATCATCTGGACCATCATCAACAACACTCGCTTCAAATTCAACCTCGTCCTTAACTTGCTGAATGCTACATGTCTGTAATTTGAAAAGGTGTGTTTATTTATTTATTATACTCTAAGACCTTCTTTAAACAGTTACATGCAACCAATTCCATCACTGTCCCAGTTTTTCTACCACACCTAACAGTGTGTACACTGTGTGAAATACGCCTAACCTAGGACAATTCAGAGAATAGCTTCTTCTGTTTCAAAATGTTTTCAGTTGCCTTTGCATACAATGCTTTGTAACAAACCAAAACAATGCTCCCAAGGGCTAGTGACGTTCTGATCTTCTGGGACTGACAAAAAACCTCATGGACAGTGAGTGGAACATGAATATTGAACCCCTTCAACCCCTGCTCGCAGTCTGGTTTGCTGAACAATGCAACCGAGTTATCATCCATAGTAGGGTTTTCTTGTTCACCTCCTGTTTCAGTTCCATGTCATCTACTTCAATGTTATCACGAGGTGGCGGACCAGCTCATACACAATCATTGTAGATAGGAAGCTGCGACTTGACAACCTTGATAGTTCCATGCTTCTATGTTGGTTCATTCAGGACATCCCTCAAATGCTGTGGACCACTCACCTTTTGCTGCACGTTGATTCCATTCACTTAGTGTGATGTCCCTCCTCAACTAAGTGTCTCTTCAAGTCAGTCGATGTTATCAAACGCCAATGTTACTTGGACATTTGGTTGTATGCATCCCGGTAGTGTAACACTTTCTTCGCTCAGTGACAATTTATGAAGACAGAGTGCTGTGTCAATCTCTTCAATCTCTTCAATTTGGGAGTATGAAACGCCATGTCCAATTCGGTTCAGAATGCGAATTAGTTCCACACACCCAGTGACTAATTTCGCAGCATATGGCAGCAGGATTTGTTTTTGGAGTTTCACCTTGACACACATTTTGCCATCACAATGTTCTACCCTATAGAGTCTGTGAATATGGTCTGATACAAGAATTGATGTGTTAGTGTTTCAAGTTAAAAGCATTTTCGAGAAGAGGTTTAATGATGCAGGAATGTAGGCAGATGCATTTTTCATTTCTGTTGATACTGTTGGCCAAGACATTGTAACATCTTATCCCTTGACTTCATCTCTAAGCATAACAAATACATTCATCATCATTTTATCAAAATGAGAAGTGTCTTGCTTGGCAGCTAGGAGCTGTTCCTTCAACTTCTGGTTTTCTTTGACTAGCTCAGTCAATGTTTGTCAGGATAATCGGAAGGTTTGCTTTTCTCATCAGGTATCATATGGATACCCTTCGATTTGAGTATATGTTTGGTCAAGGTCGCACGAAACAGAGTCTGTGGAAGCTGCCGCAGCACTAGATTTGGCTTGTGGCGTCTTTCCAGGCTAAGTGTATAGCTAGAGCGATTGAAATCTCCTTCAGCAGTGACTTCAAAATCATTAACTGATCGATCCCTTTTGAAAAACGATAGATGAGAGTTATGTCTCTTGAAAAGCAGACAACACTGTTTGGATTCCTTTTTAAGAATGTTTAGTACCGTTAATGTCACTTGGAAAATGTGTATTTGATCATTTAAACTTTCCTATGTTAAGTAGAGTTAAATATTTGCAAGTGTTTTCCAATAGAAAAAAAGATTCTATGCTCACATAATGCTTCTGGCTCACATCCCTGTTCTTGTTCTTATGAGGAAGCCATTGAAAGCGAGCAGTCATTGTCTCAAAATTCAACTTTAGTACAAAACATTAAGTTTGTCTTTTCTTTTGCATAATAAAGGTCCCTTCTTATTCTAACTTAAAGGGTCATATTTTGTAATATACTGAACAGCATTGAAAACACACCACCATGAAAATGGATGTATTTTTATCCGGGCTTATGTCATATGAAAATATATAATTGAATGAGTAATATACGACGTTCTGGACGAAGCATGAAGAAGAACAGCTCGTCAAAACACATTCCTAAATTTTTTGTGAGCGTCAACGCCAAAACGCAACAAATTGCGTGCGCATCATGGAAAACGTGTTTTGTTTCACGGGAAGCATGCAAAATAGGGTTATAAAAGACAGACTTTTAAAAGCCACATCACTTGTTGCTGCAGACGTAAAGGGTACTGACATAAAAAATGCAAAGATTAACAGCAGAGGAACGTGAAAGTGCCTTGGGCATGCTTCAAGTTGGTACGTCAAGTAGAGTCGTTGCACAACGGTTTCAATGCCACCATTCAACAGTCCTCAGGCGACTGAGCAGATACCAGCAGACAGGAACCACCAGAGATCGACCACGTCCGGGTGAACGTCGTGTAACTACACCACGTCAGGATCGCCATATTGCTCGTCGGCATCTTCGTGATCGTACACTTCCGGCTACCAGGACTGCAGCAACCGTACAAGACCGACGGGGTTTGATCAGCGCTGACACCGTACATCGACGTCTCCGCTCAGCTGGGCTACGTGCTCGAGGTCCATATGTTGGACCCATACTCACTGATCGACATCGAAATGAACGTCTGCGTTGGGCCGAAAGGCATCGTCATTTGAGATTGCGGCAGTGGCATGGTGTGCTGTTCTCTGATGAGTCCCGTTTTCATTTACGGAATGCTGACGGTCGACTGCGAGTGTGGCGTTGACGTGGAGAACGTTACCACAATGACTGCGTTGTACAGAGAGATCGATGGCGGGAGGGAGTGTCATGGTGTGGGGCGTCCTCAGTCATAACCATCGAACAGAGCTCCATGTTTGTCGTGGAAGAGTTAATGCCCTTTACTACAGGAATAACATATTGGCAAATCATGTCATCCCATTCCTTCATCAGCACCAGGATATGCACACCTTCCAGCAAGATAATGCAAGAGCGCACACGGCACGTGTTTCAACACAGTACCTAGCGAACAATAATGTCATCTGCTTCCATGGCCAGCCCTGTCCCCCATCTATCGCCAATTGAACATCTATGGGATTACCATTCTTTACCATACCACAAAAGATTATAAATTTCACCTTTTTCAGACTTTTAACGGACTTGGGTACTTCTTGGCTTCAATCCTAGCCCATTTGGGTTAAGAAAGTCCCATTGTAGTGGTGTGTGCAGTTTATTTTCTGACAGATGGTAATATTTGAAGCAGAGGTCAAATGTTGTGACCTTTTGACCTCTGGTGACCTATATTTTTACTGTATTGGTCCTATATTACATACCAACATGTAGAGCGTCAGATTACCAACATTTTCACCATATGACTATTGCTTGTAAAGTTATTCCACTTTCTGGTTTCCCCTACCCTGAAATCTAGTCCCGTGGATTCGACTCTGGGGTCCCCCTTTATGTGGTGATTACTACCACTAAGCTGTGAGTCCCGGATTGCTTTCAAAGGTTTTTTCATCTATGGATATATGACTTTCAAAAAATCATACTGAGATTTTGCCACCCCAGGTGGTACCGCTTTATAAAGTTTTGGGGTCTGGCTCATGGACTAAATAAGTGAACGAGTATGTACCGTTTTGTATCGGTACTAGCAATCCGTCACTAAGGTGAGGTATAGTGGGTTGGGGTGGAACTGCTACAACAAGCAAGGAGCCAAACATTGTCTCTTGGACAGGTTTTGTATCAGAACATGTCCTGTGAACGATTCTTGTTTCAAACGTTAGGACAACATATTTGTTTGCATCATTTAGGGAAGAGATTAATGTTACATGTCTTATGTGCGTTTCATCTTCTAATATCATGTATTATAATATTTGTATATGTGTGGTATTTTTATGGCCCTGTGAAATGTGTCCTGATGTGTCGTTCGAACAGCAGATGATAACAAAGAAGTAAGAATAACCAGATTCGCTTGAATGGAAACTCGGATAAATCGACGTACATGGAAAAACAACTTATTTCAGACGAGAAAGTGTTGTGTGAACAATCGGATGACAGAAGGCTTCTCACGGGTTGTAAATGATGAAAAGCATGTCTCAAAAGAGACCCAATTGCTATACAATGTTATGATATGATGTTTCTACGTACCTACCCTACGCGTTTTGATTTGCAGATTATCAAGCAAAACCGATGACAGACAGGTTGCACGTGAGCGTAATTATTAACGACACCATTGCAAAGAAAGGCTCATTCTTTGAAGCAGCGATCCGTCAGGTGCATCAACAGCTGGGAGATAAAATGGATCTACTCCAAGTTAGTATTGTGGATGCAATGACATGCAAGAATATCATAATAAGCCTTTATGAATGTTTTTTATCACTGGATGTAAGACCGTTTTGATAATTTTGTGAAATAGGTTTTATTAGCATGTGTTTCATGATTATGTTTTATCGATTAATGGAAAGTTGTTGTTTGTGTTACCTTTTAGTGTACCTCTTACGTTACTTAAAACTTTAAAACTTGTTTCCGTTTCCAGGAATTTGATGACACGCTACTGAAACAGCGACAGAACCATGCGACTCAGATGTGCTCTGTGTTGAAGAGATTTGAAATGGCTGACACCATGAGACGAGTATCATATTACAAGAACATCAATGTTCTTTATTGTTCTGTACCAAAGGTTGGGACGAAATTCTGGTTCAGAATGTTTCATGTGATGGAAACCGGTGAACATACTTCACCATTTGAGATTCCAGACGGCCCTAAGTCGCCATATCACATAAGTAATTCCGTAAATAATGCAGAAATTGCAAAAAGAATCAAATTGGCCCAGAAAATCATTTTCACACGAGATCCCTACAAGAGGATATTCTCAACTTACATTGATAAATTGGTAAGTCCAAACGGTAGATATTGGTCTATGGGCAGAAAAATATTAAAGATTGTCCGAAAATCGAAGTTAAATACAAAATTTCAATGTGGTCATGATGTACAGTTTGGGGAACTTGTGAAATATCTGATAGCATCGGACCCTGAATCTTACGATCAACATTTAAAGCCTGTGTCTTCTCAATGTGACGTATGCGATATTCATTATGACGTGATAGGTAAAGTCGAAACATTTAAGCATGACGTCATGTACATTCTAAACATAACGAATGCATCTGAGAAAGGTGTCACATTCAAGGATTTCGCAGAGGAAAAAAACGTAGATAACATTATTTTTAAAGTAAGAAGAGCTTTTGCTTTAAAGAAACTGTCTTTGAAATGTATCAGTGATCACATGGTACATCTTCGTTTGTGGCGTGTCCTACAGATAGGAGGGTTGATTGATAAGTTTGACAACTACCCTTTAAACCAGGACGAGAGCCGAGAAGCAAATGTGACAGTGATAACGGATTTGATGTTACGAGCGTATGGGCGATCAACGCATGCGGCTAGATTTAACAAACAAGAAGCTCTGCTCCAAGCCTACAGCCAGGTTCCTTTGGAGGACCTCGAACAACTGCGGCTGAAATACCTCAGAGACTTAATACTGTTTGATTATGAAGACAGGCCATCTTATCTGTTTGATGGGAAAGGTTCAGCCAAACCTAAGAACAAAAACTCTTTCGACTACTATGATGCAATGTCGTTGAGTTTATAACGGGCACTGCGTTAACTGTGTCGGGGATTGTTTCATCCTATAGCGGTATGGCGGAGCTGTGTAAAAGTGAGACTTTATATTATTGCGACGTTATAAGCACATATAACACGAACCTCCGCATCAAAGATTTTCGGAACCCGTGTAGGTTACCCCTCAGTCATATTTATTATGACACACTGCACAACAAGTAACTGTGCTTTAGTGACTAGCTAGAATATTGGAACTTTTATAAGCACATTGCCCTGCATGGGTTATAATTGCAATGAAATAATCAGTATGTCCTCAAGATAGGCTCACAGTACACAGCTGCCTGATATCAAAACTGAGAACGATACCGATATATGTTCTTGGTCTTTGAAAACTCAGTGTCAGACAGTGAGAATGGCCATGCTCAATTAAATTTGCCTCATAGAGTTTTGTTTTGTTTTGTTATGATATACTATCATTCCTCCCGTGAACAGGTATTAGGTGAATTCTGATACGTCATTATGGACATTTTTGACCAACCGTTTTTAGAATAGTTAACAGTAGAATAGTCTCAGGGCCAAATTCCAATAGAATGCAAGAATTTTAATAACGTAGCACACCAAATGTTGTATTTATTAGGCCCATGTTTCTTATTTGGGTCGGTGCTCATTTTCGTTCTGTAAAATGAATCATAAAGGAAATATATTTATTTGTTATTTTTATTTTATTGATTCTCAAGTAATATTTTGGACCTCTTGTGGCCATATCGTATTTTGAGAAATTTAATATGGCTACCAAGGATAAAAATACAAAAAAACACGAGTCGGAAGTGTCATCAAGTGTAACAGCCTCAACACCAGACTGTATGGAACATCAACGACAGAGAAAGGTATTACATATAGTCTATGTTTAGAGCTGTTTTCTGTCGGGGATGAGTGAATTGGGGTTAACTAGTCGACCGGGAATATGCTCGGAACAAGGGTGCAAACCAATGAAATATTGAAGGATCTCGTAATGAGTCCAAAACATACATATTCTGTATCAACTTGTAGGCAATCTTTGAAGCCAAAACATCTCGGCCACCAAACAGCAAAAACTCGCTACCAACCAAACATATATACTACCGACAGAAAAGGGAACTGATGACATGGCAGTAAAGGTGTAATGACGATAAACAAATTTAAAACAAAAACTCAAACACCCGACCCGATTAACAACATCATACACAACTATATCACGATATCCCTTCTCACTATATAAACAATATCTCTCTACTCATTCACATCTTCCACAATCATCAACGCAATCATACAATTTATTCATAACACTAACCTCACAGAATTGTTTTAGGACATCACTGACGAACGCCGCCTTAAAGTTTTTCCTAAAAAAAACAACTTTTTGTCATTTAGGATCGGAGCCGAAACTTCCAGCGCGGATTGTCTTCTACGGCGTCAGCGCGCCAAATCGCTCACATCCATTCTCCAAACCAGAACCTCAATAACCAAGAGCAGCCGCTAATATGTTGGCCATCCAAACAAAGCCAACTCACTAGCACCAACAACCGCCTTACCTCGCATCCCCGACACCCACAGCCAAACAGAGGTTCTTTCTGCAGTAGGCCTCCATATTACTTTCAGCTTAACTGTTCAATTTTAACATATCTCACTACAAGCTGTACAATTATCTTACCTGTACTCCAGCAGTAGGCGACACTTTATTACTTACTCTGTACTCTACCTCTGTCATATATATAACCTATTATACAGAGGATTAGTTTTTAGAGTTCAAAGGCTATTCGCGTTACTTTCAGACGCATTTTAGGACATGTGTCGACACCCGCATTAACTTGATGACATGCACATACAATCCTTAGAATGTCATTTTCTCAGTCACTTTCAGTCACACGAACAGTGAGTGAATGAGAGACGTCATATTCTAAAAGGGCTCAACTCCAGTCCCATGATCATTGGAACTCTGATTCAGTCGACATGGACTCAAGCAATAATACACTAGGCTTTACACAAGGACACCGGAAGTGTCTGTCAGGTAGACCATTTTTCATCACTAAGCAGGCTTTTGATCTTAATATGCGACTCACCTACACTAACATTGGTCCGACAGAAACACGTTTGTCGTGTTAATTAATATTCAAGAATATTTGTATTTCAAATTTATAACCATAGTCTAATTTTCACTGGTACGAGTTAAATGAGAAATATGAGGAAAGTATTAGTTTCAATTTGCCAAACCTTTTCAAAGCCCAGCATTTCCCATCCAACCAAGTGGTTCAATGGTACATTATGCATACAACCTTTGTGAAGTACACATGGAGAATCTCACTCGAGTCATGTGATGGCAAATATATCAACACAAGTCGATAAAGATTTGTAACTCCAAGGCTTTTATCGACGAGTGTTCTTATAGCTCATATCCCCCAAGGCTTCGAGACCCAGGATCACAGTAGTCACAACGTCTGTTGTGACTCCATTCACTGACAATATCTGTTGTAGATGTGTTGCACTTGGTTATAACGTAACTTCATTCTCGTTAACACTACAGCATTGTGTTCACACACATCTTATTGTGAAAACAGGCTTCGGCGTAGAGGAAGTATTACATGTTCTTTGTCACAGTGAACTTCAGCGTCTATATATATTCCTTTATTTCTTACCACGAAAAAGAACATTGCTCTTTCTGTCAGTGCTTCTCTCGGACGAGTCAGGCAATTACTTGTGGACGAATACAACTCATTCAATGAACGATGATGTCAAATTAATTTGCCACTATTTTCTAACTTACCCTTTAACTCCAAGCGTTACAAGATTACGAAATTGGTTACCGATCAAGATGACAGTTGCTATTAAAGATAATAACCATGGTAATTGACAGTGGATGTCGACGTCGACAAGATACATGTTTGAACATATGCTTCGATCGCCTTGTTGCCTAGACAATTTATTCCAACACCACATAAAAATGTGTTCAACCGCAACTTCCATAGCACTGTTGACAATGATAATTTTGTATAGTGAGGATTATTGATCGTTATGTGATCGTTATCTCCAGCCATGGCCTTATAAAGATGGACCATAGTCTATACTACTCGGGTAATTCGACAGGTTTATATACCACCTTTTCTTACACACCTGTGGGTGAGAAACCCATTTGAGATAACTGGTATCAAACATATGTATGAGATCGAATTCCAGACCCGTGACTGGCTACTCCATGGTGATGACCTGAGGTCAGATGATGACGGATTTCTTTCCTGAGTGTAAGTCATTCATAAGTTTCTCCTGTTTCAGTTGAATGTTCGCCTACGTCTGTATTTAACCACTGGACCGTGTGATTAATAATAATAAACAAACTCATCCTCGTCTGCAAGTTTTTTTTTTATTATTATCTGTTGTCAGCGTTATCGTTTTTAGAGTGTAAACCCTCTGGATACCACAGCGACACATATGTCCCTCCTTTTCAACCCTCACTTCGAAGTCGAATAAAATTCAAAATACATCACGCAAACTAATACACTTCACAGTTTTGAACTCCCCCCCTCACACCCTCGACCCGACCCGACTGTACACATAGCCATAAACATCTGCCTTTTATTTCAATGTAATTATAATCCTCAGTGAAATCATAAATATGTCGTTTGTCCGCTTAAAGTTCCACACATCGGTTTACATAGTGAACATTTGAATCCCGGGAACAAGCACTGTCGAACTGGTTTCGCACTGAAGGTTTTCATTTTATTATGGTTATATCTATCAAACAAATGGCGGCATTGTGAACTGAGCTATACCTCTACTTATATGGTAATGGCAGTTCAGGCAGTTTCTTGTTGAAGCAAAGACTGTATAAACACGTCTACGACAATACTTAGGCCTATCCCTAAATATTTATATTGTGTCAAATGTCAGTTCTTGACGTGAGTGTGCAGTGTAACGCCATGCTAAAACGCTTATTTGAAAAGGTTATCCGATCTGTCCCTTCGAAAATGTTTGTTTGTCGTTTAATGTCGCACGCATCAATGTGACAGTTTTTTATATGACGCCGGCCTGTAAATATATGTGGACCAACCGATCCAGTGATCGATAATAAGAGCAACATTACACGCCATCGGAGTATGATGACACGCAATCAACCAGGTCGCCGAGTCCTCTCGTGGGACCAGCGTAGGTTGCTGGGAACCTCTACCGACCTGGAATCCTACGGATACACTAGAAATATAGATCCATATTTATGTATGAACCCCCTACCCTAATACCTCCTTCCAAAGATGAACACTTGTAACTAAGATAAACTCGATGGACATAAAACAATGTAGTGTTCACCGTGTCCTATCAACAGGTTGGTTGTTTTATTCACAATGAACCTTCATGAAGGCTGTCCGCTGATCTCCATTGAAAGTTTTATTCGTTTCTGTGCAAATAAAGACATTTACCATACCTCCATGTCAGAATGATGAGATCTGATTGGTCCACGTGATCTTGATAAAAAAAACAGTGTAACCCGCCTTGGAGGGGACAACAGCTCAATCGAACAGCTGCTTTCTATCAAATTTGCATTTGTTCGATTTTTTTACAATGTCATATTAAGACATGTCGGTGAGATACATTCGTTGCAGCAGGATCAAGAGTTTTGTGCGTCCCCCGTTAGGTATAAAACAACTCGCCTCCGGCTCGTGATATAAAACCTAACGCAGCACGCATATACCCCATGTCAACGTATAGTGTATAGCAATAAGTCTAATCTCTATGTAATTTTACAACATTTAATAATTTAGCGCTAAGTATTACACACTGACACTTTATAACAAATGTGTCTATAATTGCTTTTTCGAGATTTCAAAAACACACCATAACATGTTTCTTCTCGGTCAGCTACATACGCTGTTGCCACAACAATCTGCCAGCCGTGGCGCCAGAGAGCACAACAATCTGCCAGCCGTGGCGCCAGAGAGCACAACAATCTGCTAGCCGTGGCGCCAGAGAGCACAACAATCTGCCAGCTGTGGCGCCAGAGAGCACAACAATCTGCCAACCGTGGCGCCAGAGAGCACAACAATCTGTCAGTCGTGGCGCCAGAAAGCACAACAATCTGGCAGCCGTGGCGCCAGAGAGCACAACAATCTGCCAGCCGTGGCGCCAGAGAGCACAACAGTTTGCCAGCTGTGGCGCCAGAGAGTACAACAATCTGCCAGCTGTGGCACCAGAGAGCACAACAATTTGCCAGTCGTGGCGCGAGAGAGAAAAACAATCTGCCAGCCGTGGCGCCAGTGAGCACAACAATCTGCCAGTCGTGGTGCCAGAGAGCACAACAATTTGCCAGTCGTGGCGCCAGAGAGCACAACAATTTGCCAGTCGTGGCGCGAGAGAGAAAAACAATCTGCCAGCCGTGGCGCCAGTGAGCACAACAATCTGCCAGTCGTGGTGCCAGAGAGCACAACAATTTGCCAGTCGTGGCGCCAGAGAGCACAACAATTTGCAAGCCGTGGCGTCAGAGAGCGCAACAATCTGCCAGCCGT